AAAAGTTCAAACACACTAATATTCAAATATTTGATAAAAGGAAGAATGATCTGAATTTTAGGTGTCAAGTTTTCTTATCTGCTACTTAAAATTTCCTTCTGAAAGCCAAACCAGTAACTACTTATGTATTTAAAAGAATTTAAAGCAAGCCAAGCTCGGTGGCTCAGCCTGTAATCCTGCGCCTTGGGAGGCTGAGGTGAGTGGACTGCCTGAGCCCGTGGGTTCGAGACCCGCCTGGGCAACTTGGCGAGACCTCATCTCTACAATAAATCAAAAAAAAAAATTAGCCGGGCGTGGTAGGGCACACCTGTAGTTCCAGCTACTTGGAAGATTGAGGCAGAAAGGATCGCCAGAGCCCAGCAGGTCGAGACTGCGGTAGCCGGGAGCGGCCACCGCACTCTAGGTCTGGGCGATGGAGCGAGACTCCAACTCAAAAAAAACAAAGAATTCAAAGCAGCTTACAAAAGTATATCCAATATAAATTTTTTTTTTTTTGAGTTGGAGTCTCGACCTGCTGGGCTCCGGCAATCCTTCTGCCTCAGCCTTCCAAGTAGCTGGAACTACAGGCATGCGCTACCATGCCCAGCTAATTTTTGATTTATTGTAGAGATGAGATCTTGGTTGCCCAGGCGGGTCTTGAACCTGAGGGCTCAGGCAATTCACTCACTTCAGCCTCCCAAGGCGCGGGATTACAGGCTGAGCCACATATAAATTTTATTTATTTATTTATTTATTTGAGTTGGAGCCTCACTCTGTCGCCCAGACTGGAGTGCAGTGGCCGCTCCCGGCCACCACAGCCTCAACCTGCTGGGCTCCCGTGATCCTTCCGCCTCAGCCTTCCAAGTAGCCGGAATTACAGGCATGCACTACCACACCTGGCTGATTTTTTTATTTATTGTAGAGATGAGGTCTCGCTGCCCAGGCGGGTCTCGAACCCGCGGGCTCAGGCAATCCACTCACCTCAGCCTCCCAAAGGCGCGGGATTACAGGCTGAGCCACCGAGCCCGGCTCAATATAAATTTTAAATCAAATTTTTTTTTTGAGTTGGAGTCTCACTCTGTCGCCCAGACTGGAGTGCAGTGGCCTCTTCCGGCCACTGCAGCCTCGACCTGCTGGGCTCCAGCAATCCTTCTGCCTCAGCCTTCCAAGTAATTAGAATGACAGGTGCGCAGTACCACACCTGGCTAATTTTTATTTTATTGTAGAGACGAGGTCTCAGCAAGTTGCCCGGGCGGGTCTCGAATCCGCAGGCTCAGGCAATCCACTCACCTCAGCCTTCCAAATAAATCAAATTTTTAAAAAGTAAGCTAGGGCCGAGCTCGGTGGCTCAGCCTGTAATCCCAGTGCTTTGGGAGGCTGAGGCGAGAGGACTGCCTGAGCTCAGGGGTTCTAGACCAGCCTGGGCAACTTGGTGAGATCTTATCTCTACAATAAATCAAAAAAGAAAAAAATTCCAGCTATTTGGAAGGCTGAGACAGAAGAATTGCAACAGAGTGAAACTGTGACTCAAAAAAAATAAAAAAGATATATACATGTGTAACAAGCTGGGCATAGTGACTCACACCTGTAATCTCAGCACTCTGGGCGGCGTAGGCGAGAGGATTATCTGAGCCAAGCATGGTGGTGGCAAGCGCCTGCAGTTCCAGCTACTCAGGAGGCTGAGACAGAAGGATCACCTGAGGCCAGCAGAGACTCCAACTCAAAAAAACGTGTGTATGTGTAACATACATAATTGACACAAGCGAAAACCAAGAGCCAGAAATAATTTTTTCTTTTGAGTTGGAGTCTCATGCTGTCACCCAGGCTGAAGTGCAGTGACAAGATCAGGGGCTCACCACAGCCTCGACCCGCTGGGCTCAGGAGATCCATCCACTTCAGCCTTTCAGTTAGCTGGGACTACAGGCGCACACCATCACACTCAGCTAGTTTTTTTATTTATTGTAGAGACAAGGTCTCACCAGGTTGCCTAGGCTGATCTTGAACTCCTGGGTTCAGGCAATTCTTGCTACCCTGCCTCCCAAAGTGCTGGGATGACAGGCATTAGGCACCATGCCTGGCCCAGAAGTAATTTAGACAAACTAATATGGCAAAGCTGACACTGCAGCTCAAAGCTGATTGACTCTTAAACCCAAGCTCTTCTGTAGCCACCTTCCTAAGCACATTCCGCTATTCTAAAAGCAGCTTATCAAGTAGGGCAATGCAACCTGCTGAAGGAATTTGACTCTCCTGGAAAAAAAAAACAACTTCTGTTTATGGAAACTCAAAATTTTAGTGAAGATACTACCTTACACTTGTCCTAAGCTAGCAACACTTTGCCATCAGCATTTCCCGAAAAAGGTCTTTATTGTTTCATTTGATTTTAAAGGGAATGAACTAATACCATGTGGCAAGATAAATTCGCAACAGATGTTCTATTTGCCCACATTCCAAGAGTTTAAAAGCAGATAAGCCACTCAGATTTGAGACAGCTTTCTGTAACTGGAAGCACTGTGGGAGTCTGTTCATAGGTCCATGTGCCACGAGTATCAGGCCTTCACACTTAACATCCTCACTGACATTTTCATCTGGAGTTTCTTGGACCCTCAAATATGTCCAGAAGCTAAGTTCGCCCAGGGATGCCAAAACAAACAAACAGAAAAAAGTTCAAAGGTGAGTTCATTATTTTTAACAAAACATCTTGTTCTCTTGACTTTCAATTTTTGCTAATGGGCTCACCATTCTCCTAGTTATCCAGGCCTGACACTCAGAATTTAGTGTTGGACTGGAAGAAAAGGTGAGGTCAGCCAGTAGTCAATGTCTGGAAAGTCTTCCTGTAAATGTGTCAATGTGGATGCCCCTATTCAGTTCTCACTGCCACCAGACTACAGCAATCTAATAAGAATGGACATCTCACAATATAGGTTTGTGCTTCTTTCATCATCTACAAAAATAGTATGTCTTCCATTTTTTCAGGTTTTATGTATTTCTTTAGAGACAGGGTCTCACTGTCACCCAGGCTGGAGTACAGTGGCATCACAAAAGCTCTAATTCCTGCAGCCTCTAATTCTTAGGCTTAAGGGATCCTCCCACCTCAGCCTCTCAAGTAGCTAGGACTACAGGTGTTTGCCACCACACCCAGCTAATTTTTGAATTTTTTCGAAACAGGGTCTCCCTATGTTGCCCAGGGTGGCCTCAACTGATCTCTCCTGCCTCAGCCTCCCAAAGTGCTGGGATTACAGGCATGAGTTGCCACTCCTGGCCCATATAAGCCTTATTCACTAAAACTGACTATTAGTAATTTAATACTTTCAGTAGCTGTTAAAGAGGATGTACTTTTATTTTACTAATTACTTATCGTTGGCATATAGGAAAACTACTAATTTATGTATATTCTTTTTCTAACCAGTCACCTTTTTAGACTAGTTACTAGGACTTAGTGTTTTTGAATGTTATATTTCCTGAGTGGACAATCATACCTGCAAAGATGATAATCTCATTTCTTCACCCCCAATACTTATCCCTTATTTCTCTATTTCATAAGGAATCTAGGGCCACCACAGTATAAATGAATAATTGTAGAAACAGCAGGCATCCCTGTTTGGTTTGTGAATAGGATGCAAATACTGCAGTTATGTGGCATGTTTCTGAAGATTTCTGCCCTCTTCCTTTTAGGGTTATAACACTTTTCATTATTTTTTATTTTTTTACTTTTTTTTGAGTTGGAGTCTCACTCTGTTGCCTAGACTGGAGTGCAGTGGCCGCCCCCGGCCACCGCAGCCTCGACCTGCTGGGCTCTGGCGATCCTTCCGCTCAGCCTTCCAAGTAGCTGGAACTACAGGCGCGCGCTACCATGCCTGGCTGATTTTTTATTTTTATTGTAGAGATGAGGTTTCGCCAAGTTGCCCAGGC